CCTTCTCATAATTATTAGTATCAATTATGGAATTATATCCTTAATATCATAATTAATTAATTAAATTCCTAAATTAACGGTGCGGGTTCTTACATTCACCCCACCTTTTAAGATTTCGACAGTAAAATCAGGAACATACCTGTCCCGAAACTCGGGATATTGCTGGAGAAGCTCGTCCTCTCGCTCCCAAGTACACTCCTCAGGAGTTCTTCCTGTCCATTGCACCTTGACCATCGGAATGGTCTTGCTCCTAAGCTTCTCGTCACGATCAAGAATCTTGAGTGGTCCGACGAGAGTCTTTAGGTTCTCCCGAACCTCCAATCATCAGGTTGCACCACGTGCGATGGATCCGCGATATACTTCCGAAGTTGAGACATGTGAAACACGTCGTGGATGTTGGCCAAGTTCGGAGGCAAGGCAAGGCAAGCCGGTAGGTAACAGGCCCTATCCTACCAAGTATCTGGTATGGCACTATAAATCTCGGGCTAAGCTTCCTCACTCCGAGGGCCCGACGAACACCGGTGACAGTGAAAGTCTCACAAACACGTGCTCACCTTCACTGAACTCCAATGGATGATGCTTGACATTATAATAACTCTTCTGGCGATTCTGCGACTGCTTTAGCTTTTCTCTGATCATCTGAATCTGCTGGGGGGTCTCTTGGACAAAGTCCAAACCAAAAAAAAAAACTCCTTATCTCCAACCTCAGACCAACAGGTAGGAGTTCGACTCCTCCTACCATACAACGCCTCGTAGGGTGCCATGCCCAGGTTAGTATGAAAACTGTTGTTGTATGAAAACTCAACCAATGGCAGGTTCCTATCCCATGCTGAGCCCTGCTCCAAGGTGCAAGCCCTCAACATGTCCTCCAATTTCTGGATGGTCCTCTCATTTTGTCCATCAGTCTGAGGGTGATAGGATGTACTCAATCTCAACTGAGTACCAAAATCTCCCTACAGCGTCGTCCAGAACCGAGATGTGAACTTCGGGCCCCTATCATTGATGATACTATCAGGCAGTGGCGAACCTAAAATTTTTTATTTATGTCTGCATATTTGGTGACGAGGTTCGGGGGTAGCGCTCCCGAAATGTTTTGTTTTTTTAAAATGTATTAAAAAATATAAACAAGAAAAGAGAAGAAAAAAAACTTCAATTTAATATAAAAAAATAGCAATCAAGAGTCATCATGATAATTATATACAAAATAATCTTACCTCATTTTTTATTATTATTTTGATATAAAATATAATTAATTATATGGAAATGTTATTCTCATTTTACATTTGAGTAATTCTCTCATGTTACATAGAAAAATCACGTGAAACCCATCACTAAAGGATATAAAAGAAAAAAGAAAAAAAGTAGATGAAACTTTTGAAATGAGATAATTATCTCATATAAAATAAGAATAATATTTCCCTTAATTATATCTAATAAACATTCCGCTCGTTCAAAAAAAAATCACATAATAGAAAATCTATCTTATGCATTGTAATCGACAAGTTACAACTGTGTCAAATAGTTAAATTCAATGCTTCACATCACTTACACAGGGTCACAGATAATCTTTTATTATATCAAAAATATCAAAGTAATTAAACCATGCTTTAAATTTAACAAATTATTAAATTCATTATATGCTTCCCAGTGTTTGATCCATGTCCAATGCCTTACCGAGTAGTTAACTTTTTTTTTTCCAAAATCTGTGTCTGCACTTGCAGACACAGTCAACAAAGTGGGTCCGCCGATGCTATCGGGCACCCTGTGAAGGCTCACGATCTCGCGAACATACAGTCTGGCCAAATGCTCAGTAGTGAAGCTCACCTTCACGCGCTCACCAGCTTATTTGAGCAATTCAGGGCGCTCAAGCGCCCAACTTCACGCTCAACCGCCCAAGTCTACAAAAATTCACCATCGAGGAGCACGCTCGAGCGCACAGGTGGACGCTTGAGCGCGTGAAGGCAGGCAGAATCCCTAAATTGATTCTCAAGAGGATGCTCAAGCGCCCAGTAGCGCGCTTGAGCACCCAAACACGAACCAATCAGCCCAAGATTTGATTAGATTTGCCAATGGATACAGAATTGTTATATTTTGAATGAAAGCGGAAACAAATCAATCTTGATTTATCGATTGATAGAGATCCCTGGGAAGATTTGATGAGGGATCACAACAAAGATTCGAAGCTCAATCTGTCACCCAATCTGCAAGATCTTAAATAAAAAAGGAGGCAATTAAATATTTGATTGCAAATTTGATAAGGATTCATTGGGAGAATCAGAAAGATATGGCTTCAATGGTTATAAATAGGGAGCTGAGGGTTAAGGAAAGACACCAATTCACCAATCCAGAGAATTATATAGAGACTTGAAGAAGGATTCCTATTGCGGAGCGCTGGAACACTGAGGAACCAAGTCAACATCACACCAATGGAGGCTTGGGGTTCTGTTTTCTTTACTACTGTTTTTGAATTCAGTATGCTTGGATAAACTTTTATGTAGTTAGGGGTAGATGGAACCCAATTGAATCTTTTTGTTTATGAATTAAATTGTATCTGAATTCTTTTCTTTTTATAATTGAATAAATTCATATGTTTTTAATGCTTTCTATGTGTTTGTTCCTAATAGTATGATCTTGGGGAATTGTATGACAATAGGGATGTTGGTGCATGAACCCTGAATTGATAAATTTATTACAATCCTTGTGATCTAGGAATAGACATAGGGTAATTACGCAATCTTTGAGTTCTTGATCTTAATGCATGTTTTCTTGGGGAATAACCAGGGAACTAGGGTTCTTCTGAGATCACATAGATTTAGGGTAACAAGGAATTGAGCCCTAATTAAATTAGAAAGAATTGATTGGAAATATATTAAGAACGAATTCTTGACCGTTTAATTCATAACATATTGAGGAGATTGGGGGGAATCGAAACCCTAACTACGCTTGTTTTTAATTCGTAATCAACCATCATCTTTTCAATTGTTCTTTTTAATTCTGATTTTTTCAAATTTGCATGTTATTGATTCTTTTAATTTCAATTTCAATACTCTCAAATCCTATTCTTGATTGTCCAACTAAATCGCGATTAGCGAACTGGTGCTTGAAAATCCGATCCTCGTGGGAACGATTTCGTACTCAGGTACACTTTATTAATTTACGACCGGTGCACTTGTCGAGTCGCAACAAGTTTTTGGCACCGTTGTCGGAGATTGGATCCTTCAACATTAGAAGTAACTAATTACCTTTTAGATATGACGTTTTAATTTTCTAAACATTAAACATACTGCCAAAAAAAATTTTGCATTCAAATTCTACATCAATTTTCTGAATATTTTACATTCATTAATTTTTTGCATTCTTTTTCTATTATTTTATTTTATTTTCTGTTTTCTTTTTCTGCATTTTCCTATTTTTCTTCACATCTTTTCAATCTTAGTTTATGCGAGGTACTCTTAACCCACGAATCTTGCAGTTTGATCATGAGATAGAAAAGACAGAAAGGAAACTCAGAAAAAGTGCAAAGGAAAGGAAGGCTAAGGAAGAAAAAGAAGCCTCAAGTTCAACGGAACCGAAGGAAGAAACAATGCAATTCAGAACCCTCCAAGGACGTTGGGAGATTACATGACCCCAGCTCGAGTTCCACAAACGGCGAGCATTGTTAGACCAACCGTGGATGCAACAACTTCGAGTTCAAGCCAACATTGTTGCAATTGATTCAAAAAGATCAGTTCGCTAGAGGAAGCATGGAAGATCCTTACATTCATCTTGATAACTTTCTACTCTACTGTGATACATTAAAGATGAATGGAGTCTCACGTGACGCCATCTTGCTCAAACTATTTCCATGCTCACTGAAGGATGACGCAAGAGCTTGGCTGCAATCACTGCCTAAGGGAAGCATCAGCAACTGGGACGACTTAGCAATGAAGTTCTTGGCCATATTTTTCTCCGCTTCAAAGTTGGTAAGGCTCAAATAAGAGATCACTGCTTTTGAACAAAAAGAAAGTGAATCCTTGTACGAAGCATGGGAAAGGTTCAAAGGAATACTCTGAAAGTGTCCTCAACATGGCATTGAAGCTTGGGAGAAAGGACGAATTTTCTTCCAAGGAATGACGCCGAGTAGAAGAACCTTGGTGAATGCCGCATCAGAAGGATCGTTGAAAGTTAAAAATCCTGAGGAAGCATTGGAATTGTTGGAATCTTTAGCTTCCCAAGAGTATGACAATGCTTCAGTCACACAAAGGAGAGTGGGAATCATGAAGCTCGACGGCTATGATGCAATCTTAGCCCAAAATGAACAAATGCTGCAATTTCACAAGAAACAACAAGCACAATTAGATGCTCTTACAAAGCAATTTGTTAATTCTCAAGTTTCTTCTGTTAATAGTACTCAGATAACTTGTGGTATTTGTGCAGAGGCTTATGCAACTGAAGATTGCGACTACATGAGAACACCTGGAAACGCTGAAGTCAACGGAATCTGGTATGATCAAAAGAACCAGAACAATCCAAGGAGGAACCAATATGGTAATAACCATAATCAAGGGTGGAAAAATCCTAACCAACACCCTGGATTTAGTTACAAATCAAACCACCAGCTGAACCCTCCTTTGCCATTGCAACAATAACCTCCACCTCAAGGCAACACTTCAGAGTGGGAGAAGGATTTTGCACAGCTGTCTAAAACTACCTCGGACTACATTCAGAATTCAAATGCCTTCAGAGAAGAAACAAGAGCTTCATTCCGGAACCAAGAAGCTTCTATCTGGAACCTTGTCGAGACAGTTTGCTGAAAGAACCCAAGGCACCTTCCCAAGTAACACAGATAAAAACCCAAATGCACAATGCAATTCAATTATTACCAGAAGTGGGATCGTGATCCAACCTGTGGAAAAGCCACCAGTGGAGAAGAAGAAAGAGGCTGAACCTGAAGCGAAAAAGGAGAAATAAGAAGACGCAGGAGAAACCGAAAAGAGCAGCCCAGAAAAGAAGCTGTTCAAATGGGAGAAAAAGAAAGCTCTGGACCGGCAACCAAAATCGGCATATCTGTCTCCCTATGCGCGTGTTCCATACCCTCAGCGGTTGAAACAAGAGATCCAGAAACAATAATACACAAAATTTCTGGATATCTCAAGAAGCTGCAAGTAAACATTCCTTTTGTAGAAGCCCTGGAAAGCATGTCGAACTATGCAAAATTCATGAAAAACCTTCTGTCAAAGAAGCCTAAGCTGAAGGAATGCGAAACAGTGGCCTTAATTGAGGAATGCAGTGCAATCATCCAGAAGAAACTTCCTCCCAAGCTAAAAGATCCGGGCAGCTTCTGTATTCCTATAGCCATAGTAAATATTGAAGTAGGAAAAACATTATGTGATCTGGGAGCAAGTATAAATCTGATGCCACTTTCCATGTGCAGAGCTCTTGGAATCAAAGAGCTAAAGCCAACTACAGTTTCCCTCCAGTTAGCAGATAGATCGATCAGACGACTAGATGAGGGTAATTAAGGATGTTTTAGTTAAAATTGACAAATTTATCTTCCCTGCAGATTTTCTAATTCTGAATATGGAAGAAGATGCCGAGATTCCCCTACTGCGTGGGAGGTCATTCCTAGCCACCGCAAGAGCAATGATCGATGTGGAGCAAGGAAAACTGATGCTGAGGATGAACGAAGAGACAATCACCATTGACGTCTTTGAGTCAATGAAAAATCCGTCAGATGGAGGAGACTGTTTCATGCTTGACATAATACAAGAAGCATTTGATGACACGATGAAAGAGGAGAGTTTCCACTCGAGTTAGAGCAAATCAACTAAGAAGCTGAACTTGTTGATAAAGAAAAAGAACCAGTGGTGGAAGAACTAGAAAGAAAGAAAGAAAGAAGACATCCCTCTTGGAGCAATGAAGGTGGAGCTTAAGGATTTACCTTCAAATCTGAAATATACTTTCCTTGGTGACAACAACACTTATCCTACAGTCATCATCAATGTGGAATTAACAACCATGGAAGAAGAAAAACTTCTCAAGGTGTTGAAGAAGCACCAAGCTGCCATAGGATGGTCCTTCTCCGACTTAAAAGGTATAAATCCTTCCTTTTGTACTCATAAAATTTTAATGGAAGATGATATTAAACCTGTGAGGCAGCCACAAAGGAGACTCAATCCAACCATGAAAGAGGTGGGAAGGAAAGAAGTAGTTAAACTGTTAGATGCAGGAATGATTTATCCTATATCTGATAGTGCATGGGTAAGTCCAGTACAAACTGTACCAAAGAAAGGTGGAGTTACTGTGGTAAGAAATGAGAACAACGAGCTGATTCCAACAAGGACAGTCACCGGGTGGAGAATGTGCGTTGACTACAAAAGATTAAATGCAGCCACTCGGAAGGACCACTTCCTAATTCCCTTCTTGGACCAGATGTTGGAGAGACTAGCTGGCCATGCCTTCTACTGCTTCCTGGATGGGTACTCGGGTTACAACCAAATAGCAGTAGCTCCAAAAGATCAAGAGAAGACAACATTCACATGCCCTTACGGAGTCTTCGCTTACCGGAGGATGCCCTTCGACCCGTGCAACGCTCCGACAACTTTTCAAAGGTGTATGCTTTCTATCTTTTCTGATATGATAGAAAAATCTATTGAGATCTTCATGGATGATTTTTCTGTTTTTGGCCCCTATTTTGACACTTGCTTAGAAAATTTATCATGTGTTTTATAAAGATGTCAAGAGAGTAATCTTGTTTTAAACTGGGAAAAATGCCACTTCATGGTAAAAGATGGCATTGTTTTAGGACACAAGATGTCTAAAGAAGGTATAGAGGTTGATAGAGCTAAAATATTTGTTATTGAGAAACTTCCCCCTCCCTCTAATGTTAAAGGTATTCGAAGTTTTCTTGGTCATGCAGGTTTTTACAGGCTCTTTATCAAGGACTTTTCCAAGATAGCAAAACCGCTATGCAAGCTGTTGGTCAAGGATGAGGAATTCAACTTCACAGATTAATGTTTGAATGCATTTAATATTTTAAAAGATCGATTGACCATCGCACCTATAATCACTGCACCAGATTTCACTATACCTTTTGAATTAATGTGTGAAGCTAGTGATTATGCCATAGGAGCTGTCTTAGAACAAAGAAAAGATAAATTGTTGCATGTGATTTACTATGCTAGTAAAATTATTAATGATGCACAAATGAATTATGCTACCACTGAAAAAGAGTTACTAGTAGTTGTCTATGCATTTGATAAATTTAGACAGTATTTGCTGGGGTCTGAAGTAATTGTTTACACTGATCATGATGCTTTAAAGTATTTGTTGAATAAGCAGGATGCGAAACCACGATTGCTCAGATGGATGCTGCTTCTTAAAGAATTTGAAGTCGAGATTAGAGGAAAGAAAGGCGTGGAGAACTTGGTGGCCAATCACCATTCTAGGATCCAAGAAAAAATCTTCAAGATAGACCTGAGCTGAAGATCAGAGAATAGTTCTCTTATGAGCAAATATTGGCTATCAATGTTATCACGGATTTGCAAATGGAGGAAGTAAAGACCACAAGTACATCGCCATGGTTCGCAGATTTTGCGAACTTCAAAGCAGCAGGAGAAATTCCAGTAGACTTCACATGGCAACAAAGAAAGAAGTTTCTACATGATGTCAAGAAATACCTATGGGTTGAGCCCTTCCTTTTCTACAGGTGTGCTGATGGAGTAATAAGGTGGTACATTCCAAAAGAAGAGATGAAAGACATCCTGTGGCACTGTCATGGTTCCAGCTACGGTGGACACTTTGCGGGAGAAAGAACAGCAGCAAAAGTACTGACGAGTGGCTTCTATTGGCCCACACTCTATAAGGATGCAAGGAAGTTTGTGGAAGCATGTGATAGATGTCAGAGAACGAGGAATATCTCTAGAAGACATGAAATGCCCCTCAACAACATATTGGAGGTTGAAATCTTCGATGTGTGGGGAATAGACTTCACTGGACTCTTCCCCCCTTCCTATGACAACAAATACATCCTTGTTGCGGTGGACTACGTCTCCAAGTGGGTAGAGGTTGTTGCCCTTCCTACTAATGATTCTCGGGTAGTCATTGCATTCCTCAAAAGAAATATCTTCGTAAGGTATGGGGTGCCGCGAGCAATCATAAGTGACGGAGGAACTCACTTTGACAACAAACAAGTGAAATATGTGCTGGCTAAATGCAGAGTGAAACACAAGATTGCCACACCATACCATCCACAAACAAGTGGTCAAGTGGAGATATTCAACCGAGAGCTGAAGCGAATATTAGAGAAGACGGTTGGAAGTTCCTGAAGAGACTGGTCAAAGAAGCTTGATGATGCACTGTGGGGAATCAAGTATTAATCTTCAACTCTCGTCTCCGTCTCCTCCCTGGGAAGTTAAAGTCCAGATGGTCAGGACCATTCGTTGTGAAGAACATGAAATCGTATGGAGCAGTGGAGATCAGTCCGTTGGATTCTGACAGGAGCTTCACAGTCAATGGCCAACGTCTGAAATTATACATGGGAGGAGAAATTCACAAGGGAACAACCACGGTTGCCCTTGTAGAGGTAAAGTGAGTCAGGTACGTCAGGCTCGTGACGTTAAACAAGCGCTCCTGGGGAGGCAACCCTAGAATTTATTGTTTTCCAATTTCTTTAGTTCAAATCATTAAGAAAATGCAACAAAAAAATAGATAATTAGGCTAAGATGATTAGAAAGCTAAGAGAACACATGTGAGGAATAAAAATAGATTTCTGAGTGGCTAGTGAGCGCTCGAGCGCCCAACTCTAAGGAAAAATGGTCGAAAGGAACGCTCAAGCACCCAGAAAGCTGCTCGAGCGCGTTCCAACAGGAAAAATTGAAAATTATTGACACTTAGCACGCTCGAGCGCCCCATTGGCTGCTCCAGCACGCAAGATCAAGTTCACAGGGGTGTCCCCCTGCCATCAAGCGCTCGAGCGCACAACAGCGTGCTCAGGCGCGCGAGAAGGGGGAAAATTAAAATTCGAAGAGCGCGCTTCAGCGACTCCAAAATTTTTGAAATTTTCTTTTAAATACCTTTCCCCCTTACCCCATCTCTTTTAAAAAATCTCTTCTTCCTTATTCACTGCACACACATCCCTAACACCAAATTCTACCTTCTCTCTATGAAGCTCTTGAAAGAATCAGGTATGCTTTCTTCTCTCTATTTCTAAGTTATTGAATTAATTGCTTGAAGATTGTTCTTCTCTGTTCACACATGGTAGGCTAGGGTTCTAAGGAAAAGTCAGATTTGGGGATTTTGGGGTTCAATGGGGTAAATGGATTTCATTTCGAATTTGAGTAATCTGAATGCCTGACTCACACACACCACATTATTCTCACACACTCATGATTCTCACACAAGTATTGGAATGCTCACTCATAAGCACCATATGTTAATTATGTCAGCTCATAGTAGCTACACTCAAGGTGTTTGATGAAATGCTCATATGGATGGGAACCCCTAAGACCCTGAACTGTTTGATGAAATGTGTCAAGGAAATCACACTCATATGCTCATCATAAGTTAGTATACTCGAAGACTTCCATGCATTACACACTTAGAAACATGGCACTATCAAAATCACATTCATCTTAATTTGACAAATCTGAACTTTGGTTGTGATTACTTTGGAAATCAAAAAAAAAATTAATCCAGAATGGTGTTCACCTCTAAGAGCATAAATTCCTAAATAAATGCTGAATATGAAATGTTTGTTGTGATGCTCATGCGAATTGGTTGTCAAAATACTCACATGGGTACTCATAGTGGTTATGCATAAGTTAAAATTACAGTAAGTGTGCATAGTGATCAAGGTGTCAAGAAAGATATATTGTAATTGACATTAATTCACATAAAAATCTTTCCATCACATGAGATGTCATAGTTGATACCATATTTACATTACTACTCTGATACATTGCAAAAGGTTCATGTTTGAAATCATGTGATGAAATACCATATGGATTAAAGACACTTACTCCTGGAGCATTTTGCGAGCTTATGCAACTGTTGATATTTCTCCATGATGATAATCATATACTAAATCTGGGAATTCAAAAGGCATAACTATTGACTTGGAATTATGTTTTTCAGAGTTTCAGGATGTCTGGCAAAGGCAAGAACACCGAAAACAAAAGGCATAGAGGCACCAAAAAAACCGGTGCTGGTTCAAGTTCCCAACCACCAAGGGTGGAAGCGCCAAGGTTTAAGTCACCTGCCCATGAGGCGAGGTATCATGTCCACATCTTAGGCAAGGCAATATGCAAGGAGAGAGTTCTCCACCTCACCATGGGTCAGCACCCCGATTTTTACAGCAATATCACCAGGTGGGGTTGGAGAAACTTCTGCACCTTGCCAGTAGTGACAAGGGAAGATATTTGCAGGGAATTCTTTGCCAATGCTTACATTCAGGAGCAAGAAGGAATGTAGAAGCAGTGTGTGAGCTTCGTGAGGGGGAAAAAGATCAATTATGATCCCCTCTCCATTCAAAACTTATTGAAGACAACCCTTTGTGACAGGACATCTGTCACCACTTGTGCATATCAAAACAAATGCACTTCCCTGGAATATGAGGAAGATGAATTGGAAGCTGCAAATCCTATACTGGAATGCATCACAAATCCAGGTGAGAAGTGGGACAAAACAAAGGACGAGCGTCCTAAGAGAGTGTGGCTGAAAAACTTGAATAATCCAGCCAAGGTATAGTATCATTTTACAGTACATGTGTCAGGAAGCAGGGGTAGAGATTCCTATAACCGGTGGAAGAGAAATTACTT